ATGTTTCCTTAGAAACTATTAATATATCTATCTTATCTGTTTCCTTAAATAACTTCGGTAAGCTCTTCTGCATTGTTTTGCTTCAATGGCATTGTTCTGTTTGAGATTTTTACACATTATGTTTTTGTTTATTTTCTTCAATGTTGCATTTCAGACATGATCTCTGTTTGTCTGTTCTTTTTGTTGTATGGTTACTTTTTCCATGGTGCTTCTTACAGTTGAACCTATCATTATTGAAAATGGTTACCTATAAAGTCATCTTGCTAAGGGAATGGATTGGGCCTTTTTCTCCCGTAAATTTGTTCCTTTATGTTTTATTCATTGCTAAAAGTTATCTGGATAAATCAGAGAGCATTGCTCATCAAACCAAAATAGTTCCAACTTCTGATTGCAGTGCAAATCAGAATTGACCTGTTGAGTTATTTCTAGGCGCACACCATTTTTATAAGACTGAGATGGTAGAGACGCTGGAGCAAACATTTGAAATGTTTTTTGTTGCTCTCATTATGTGATTGGCTTGATTATGAAGTGATGCTGTGCTGTGAGATAAGAAGAACCTAACAAATTTCATGAAATTTTGTTGATAATTTTGGAGTAAATTGCATATGTGCTATAAGCTATTATTATGTCTCTCTCTTGATGTTTTCATTCTAAGTGATCTGATTGGAAGCTATCTATTCTAGATTTAGTAAATTGTTGTTGTGATTATCTGAATCCTGTTTGGTTGTATTTACTCATACTCTAAGAATATATCTTTTTTGTTGCCAAAGTCGGAGCATACCCCAATGTTCAGAACCTATTGGAGAACTGGCATTAATGATCGGTTACAGTGGAAGGAGCATTCTATGATTTTTGCTATGCCAAAGAAGCCTGGACATTTCAGTCGATTTGATTTTCCTGAAGTCCTCCCTGCTCCTTTGAATGGTTAGGTGTTCGCATTTACCATTGTAAAACTTAAAATAAGAGTTATTAGTGATCGCTATGATATTGAATGTTGTTTGTGTCCTTCTAGTGCTAGAAAACCTACGATACTAGAACTTTTCATTTGTCTGCTGCAAAACGTATGCTTGTGCTTGTGTTCGTGTTCTTCCTGTCTATGATATGGTAATGACTTCAAAACCAGAATTCAGTTGAATTGACTTTCAGTTCTGTTCAAAGTTTTAGCAGGAACATGCGTATTGAATTTTGAACAATAACAAGTCTATCCTACTAAGTAGGGTCGGCTACATAGATCGCATGACGTCATATCTTAATTTTCTGTTGAATTTTGAACAAATCTTAATTTTTCAGAAGGGCTAGCTGGTTTATCCAGTCAATCTGCAAACTTAGCTGCTAACATATGGGTTTTCTTTAAATAGAAAGCCCTTCAAAGAAATGTGTTTGCAATGGTCTAATCTTTCAGTTGTCCATGAACTTAAAGCAGAAACGAAGTACAAATATTCTAGTATTCTTTTTAATTGCAGTTAGTTTTCTGTGTTATATACATCATTGTGCGTGTGTTTGTGTGTTTCACATTCTATTTTTCCTGATAAGAAGATAATTTATCTTTTAAACAGAACCGACAGATGGCTCAGTTCTCCATTCTATATTTTAACATTTCTTGCATTCCTCTGCTGGGCTTCTGTTACATTTTTCTCTAGTTTTTCAGTGTTTTCTAGTGCTCATTCTGTGGTTTTGACTGATAGGAATATGGGCAATATTGAGGAACAATGAGATGTTGACTTGGCCAGAGAAAGTCAAGTTTGCTATTGGATTGCTGCCAGCTATTCTTGGCGGGCAGGATTACGTTGAGGCTCAAGATGGATTATCTGTTCAAGAGTGGATGAGAAAGCAGGTGTGACAATTCTTTTGGGGATCTAAGTAGCTTGGCTACTTCACAAACCAAGATCATGAGAAAGCAGGTGTAACATGTTTTCTCCTCATTGCAGGGTGTGCCTGATCGAGTAACTGATGAGGTGTTCATAGCAATGTCAAAGGCCCTAAACTTCATCAATCCTGATGAACTTTCAATGCAGTGTATCTTGATAGCTTTAAACCGATTTCTTCAGGTGCAATCATTTCCATTTCTCAAATAGTATTGTTTCAAAAGATTAGTTATACCCTGGATCATATTTTAATGGATGCAGATTAATAATTAGAAATGATGCATGAAGAGTCTTCATGCTTAAAAAATACAGTTCCACGTATCATGAGGAGCAAATGTGGGTCTTGTATTCATACTCCTGCTCAGCCTTCAGCTTCCAGTGACTCTCAAGAGTTTTAGTCGTTACCGGGATGGCATTCCACAGTTGTGTTCTATGCCATATATGGTTTTACCGGTGCTATTGCCATCATGAATTAATCTTTCTGCTACCCCTTTACTTCATTTTATGCACAAATTTTGCTTGGAATAATGAATAGAACGAATGGAGTATAGTCGTTTCTGTAAAGCATTACCCTTGCAAAGCAAAGCCTAATGGTTTGCGTGTTATTAAATATTCCAATAGGAGAAGCATGGTTCAAAAATGGCCTTTTTGGACGGGAATCCCCCGGAAAGACTATGTATGCCAATTGTTGATCATATTCAGTCCTTGGGTGGTGAAGTTCATCTCAATTCTCGCATTCAAAAACTTGAGCTGAATGATGAAGGGACTGTAAAGAATTTGTTATTAAATAATGGGAAGGTGATTGAAGGAGACGCTTATGTGTTTGCAACTCCAGGTACCATTTTTCTGTATCATCTCCTTGCAGTCCTTTTTCTTTTCTATTCTTTTTTTTTTTTTTTTCCTTTTTGGCTTTTGGCATTCTGTCTTTCTGTTTCTTCACATTCTTACTTTTGTTCAATTAGTTGATATCCTAAAGCTTCTTCTGCCTAACGACTGGAAAGAAATTCCCTATTTCAAGAAATTGGAGAAACTGGTGGGAGTTCCGGTCATAAATGTTCACATATGGTCAGTGATGACTTTTACTGTGGAAACCATCTTTTTGTCTTTGTGCTCGCCAAATTTGCTTTCACTTAATTGTTATAGTTATCGTCATTGTTATATATTGTTGCCGGCAATTGTATGTAGAGTTTAATACTCATAATTTAGTCACTGAGGAACATAAGATATTGGGTTATCAGACATCCCTTGCGATATGTGCAATATTACTTTTCGTTTTCTCTTTTTATATATTAATTAACCTTTCTTCTCACAACAAGAACAAAAGTATTTTATGATCTCAGAATTACTTTTCCCACTGGCTTGGTAACAAATATTGTGCCTCGTGCAGGTTTGATAGAAAACTGAAGAACACATATGATCACCTACTTTTTAGCAGGTCATTCTCTCACTTTGGATGAATTACAGTGTCTAGAAGGGATAGAAATTCTGTACGCTTCATGTCTCGTTTAATTTATGGCTTATAATTTCCTTTGTTAAGAAAACCAGGTTGGACCAACTGGTTCAAAAGGAAAACATTGGAACTGGATGGCCCTTTTTCAGTCTGGTCAGCCCATGAGCTGGAGGGTTAGAGAACTGTTCTAGTCAAACTTAATTGGTTTTTTCCTCTGTGGGATAGGCTGGTTTTCCTCTCCTGTCCATTGTAAATGCATTCTAGATGGAAAAGTACTATTGCATGTTATCAAAGCCAGTATTTGATGCATCAAAAGGAGGTGCTTATCACTTAGCCATGTCATGTGTTGTTGAATGTGGCCTTTATTATATTATTTGTCCACCATTGTAAGAAATTTATTTTATGTGCAAACCGTAGTCTCTTATTGTACTCATAAAGCCTCACTACCGTGATGACGATCATATTCTTTCTATAACACTCTTAGCACTCCCCAGAAAGTTGGAGCATTGATTTCACTAAAATTACGGACATCCTTTTATTTTGCCCCCTTGTTTGTTACCTGGGTGGTTGAAGTTTTGATTATTGATGAGGATTTTATTCATTGAGATGAGAAGGGTTTGTAGAGCGAGTTGACTTAGGGATAGGAGCATGTGGCAGGGTTTTTCTTGCAATTTGTGGACAATAATGTCTAATTATTTGTTACAACTGTTGATTTCTTTGTTATTGTTGCTTGAAAATAATCCTTTAGCTTCCAGCTATTTATTGACTACAAAATTTCTATCAATGATTTCTGGACCTTAACCTCCCAGATGTTCTTATTTTCTTTTCTTCATGCAGAAGTCCCCTTCTGAGTGTATATGCTGACATGTCAGTGGCTTGTAAGGTAAAAGCCACTTTTCATATAATCTTTTCTCAAGCCACCACGATGCATTTGTTCCCATACAATCTTTTCTCTCCTGTCATTTTTCTCTCTATTCACAAATCATTTTAGATTTCAGCTATTTATGTATGCTTTTACCGTATTCATATTTCTCAACATAATCTGCATATACACCCAATGTATGCTTATGATTTCATGTTAGGATGTAGTTGGAGTAAGGAGCTGAGTTTGTTGCCTCTGGTTTATATATGAAAAGTTCCTTTTCGTGTTTCATTATCTTACACAGGAATATTATAGCCCAAACCAGTCTATGCTGGAGTTGGTTTTTGCACCAGCTGAAGAATGGATTTCACGCAGTGATGAAGATATTATTGAGGCCACAATGAAGGAACTTTCCAAACTCTTTCCGGATGAAATTTCTGCGGACCAAAGCAAAGCAAAGATAGTCAAGTATCATGTTGTTAAAACGCCAAGGTTTGATTGATTTGCCATAGAGATGGATTAGTCCCTTTTCAAGTTCTTTGAATATTGACTGTCAAGTGTTAACTAAATGATGGAAAACATAAGTTATTATAAGATTGGCTTTTGTAGGAATGTTTTTTGCCCTTTTAGATTCTGTGTTAGATATATACGACTTATCACTGAACTAGTCAGCTAGTAACAGAAAACTATTACATTTTATTGACTTGCGATATTATTCTGAATATATTTGTCAGGTCTGTTTACAAAACTGTTCCAAATTGTGAGCCCTGCCGTCCTGTACAAAGATCTCCCATAGAGGGTTTCTATTTAGCCGGTGATTACACAAAACAAAAGTATTTAGCTTCAATGGAAGGTGCCGTTCTTTCCGGAAAGCTCTGCGCGCAGGCTATTGTACAGGTAAAGGTGGAACTGAAATGTCTCAATAGCTTGCATCAACAATATCATAATCTTTATCCATAAATTCTTTAGCTTTGGTAGAATCCTAGCATTGGGTGGGTTGAATTTTCTATCCATCCAATTCGTCCGTACTTTGGCTTGCAAAAAATCATACATTTTCTGGTGACATTATTTTAGAAGGCCATTGATGAATAAAGCACTTCAATTATAAATATTGAGGCACTTCCATCGAAGGACATCATGAATTCTTGTCCTGAAATGTGTAGGATTCTGAGCTGCTTATTGCACGGGGGCAGAGGAGGAGGATCGAAGCAAGTGTTTGATTAAGTCTGGAATTACACTTGTGGATAAGCATCGTTCTGAAGCTTTCATCAAGTCGCCATTGATCATATCATACCATTAAAGATTCAGCTTTTGCAACTATGGAGCCTTTTCATGGGGAGGTTTTCTAAATTCTTTATGGCAAATATCTACCTTGTAGACGATGTGGACAATAACACACAAAGAAAAACTGATTTTAGAATTGTATTAAAAAAAAAACCCGATTTTAGAATATATGTGATCATTACCTACTGTACCCTATTCGGCCTTGCAATGGCGGAGCCGGGAGGGAACCTCGTATAGCAGCAAAAGCATTCGCAGGAAGCTCTGGTTGGAGCGCTCATTTACTTGTAAGGTTATGAAGAATCAGGTTCTGTTACTGATATTCATCTCTCGAGTCTCAAAATGGTTTGTATCATACGTTAAGGATAGGGAATATATATATATATATATATATATATAATTTTCATGTAGCTGTTATTGTTAGCTTTATTTATTTATTTATTGCCAGCTTGCGTTCTCTATTTTTGTGTTGCGACTTGCGACAAATGCAGCTTTTTTTTTTTTTTAAAATACTTAAAAAGTTGTTTTTGAGTTTTGGTTATGAATTTGATTGACGTTACGCTATATTCATGGGATAATGTACCTTACAGGAGGAAAAATGACAATTAAAGATCTTGTTAAATTATTGATTTCAGTTACATATCTGCTATTATTAAAATTTTATTAGAGGACCATTAGGAGACAACCTTATTCTCGAGCGGATTATTTGATTTTCACAAATGTTTTATCTGTAATACATAACTGACTTTTATATGATTTTAGTGCTCTTGAAATGAAAAAAAATAAATTAATTTCAGAAATTGTGAGCATAATAGCTTTAAATCTTTATAATTATCATTATTGTTGCTTTTCATCAATTCATCCGGGTTCAGATCCTCTCAGTGGCCATTTTCTCCTCAATCCTCAGAAGCTCTAAATCGTATCCGTCCAATCAATCTAAAGGCTCACAAAAAGACATATCATCTAGATTTTAAATTTTATCTCCGCCGTCCAATATATTATAATCTTAGCCGTCCGTTCAAATCCCATTTTTGCCAAACCCCGGCGATCTGTTCCCTCGCACTCGCGGCACTCCGGTCTCCTTCACAGCCCTCTCCGGCTTCATGTCCTCCGTCTCCCACGAAGCACGGCATCTCGTACTCTCCCGTTCACCTACTCAGATCAAATTCTAGTTTAGCAAGTGAAGCGGTTGCAGGCCTTTTGCGATCTCTAACTTCAATCAATCTATACAAGAATTCAGTCAGAGAGCGGAGCAATGAAAGAGATAAATAGACTGCTGAGGCAGTCTTCCTCGGCTCCTGAGGTATAGGAATAGGTATATTGCCACTTGCATTTATGCATATTTCTTGCTGTCGATTATGGAGGAATATGTGGATGTCATTTCCATAGATAAAAGAGCAAGGTATGAGTTCACTGTGAAATTCATCTGTGGATGAGAAGCTCCGCATTAAACTTGCAAAGAGCGATTTCCTGTCGTTGATGATTAAGTGCCGTGAAGACGAGGATGTGAAAGTGAAGAAGCTGCAAGAGGCATGTTGGCAAATCTAGCTTTGAGCCATGTTCAACCACAGCATTTTGGTTGAAGCAGGGTCATATGAAATTGGTGAGGCTTCCCAAGTTTACATGGTACTAAAAAGATGGTTACTTCAATAATAAAATATTTGCATGGCATGCTGGTTTTATACGGAGGCAAGTAAATCCCGTCAACATAAATTCACTAAAACCCCATGAGAATATTTGAGGGAGGGAGTGAATGAAAGAATGGTAAGAAGAATGTCAAGTTTTCAGTGGGACTTAATTCTTGATGCTCACAAAATTCCAGATCGAATTTTCCTGCAGGCAAAGTTCTTAACTTGATTCTGAAGGATCCAAAGTCAATAAAAAGGCGACGATCTATTTTCTTGACTCACCAGCATAGACATAACATGAATGCTCCGTAGCCTGTCTTTCTTGTTAGTTTATGAATTGAAATGAAGCTCGTGTCCATCAACTCCATCTCCCTTCTGTTCCCGTGGTGAATTTGTCGTTAAAAAGATTTCATGATAGTGTGGTACGTGTAAACAGTGACGGGTTTTGTCGTGTAAGACTATCATTCTTCATATATGTTGATGATTTGGAATTGGTTCTCTCCTCTTGTCATGTCTATATACAATTATAATTTATACATGCGTATCTTGAGCGACGAGCATGTATAGGCTTGACGTATAATTGTAATATAATGGAAGAATTGAGTTCAACCACCGTAAACATTACATGTTTGAGTCCCATCTATCTGTCTGTCTCATTTCAGGTTTCTGGCAGCACAAAAGCAGTCACCTGCAAACAGGGAAAGTGTAGATTTTACTTGGAATAGTACTTAACCCATGAAAGTAATTTACTTTTGGTAAAATGTTCCTTTGGTTATTTTGTTTCTGATAGAAGTTGAAGAAGATCGACGCCACGTCCGCAATTGAGGGTTCAGTACGTTTTAAAAGGCGACAAAAACAGACGGCTACGATTTAATAAATTAAATGGCTCAGATGAGCTTCTGAGAAAAAATGCTGCTGGGGGAATCTGCTCCCCAGTTCGTCCTGGGCTCCCACTTCCTTTCGGCTTTGTGGTCACTAATGGCGTCTGAGATTGTCTCTTCAAATTATAAATTATTTGCACTTTCGATGGCACATGATTATCTCACTTTTATAATTTTTCAGTACTTTAAAACAATTCCTTATATTAAAAATATTTTGAAATGTCACTGTTGAATCTCAAAACTGCATGAAGAAAGAAAGATTAAAAAAATTAGGATAATCTTTTATTTTTTGTTGTCATCTTTCTTATAAAAAATTTTTCTATTTGCATAAAATCGTCTTAAAAACATAATAAATTTTCATGAATCATACATTCATACCCTTTAAATGAGCTTAAAAATTTGAATTTTGTAAATAAAAAAAAAACACAATATCAAAAGATTCGTCTCTATGTTAGATGATAAAACCAGGCACTACATGGTTGTTAAATGAGGGAAAAGAAAGATCTAATAAAGCCGAGACCCCACTCACCAACGTGATCAACGTGTTAATGAAAAATTATCAAATTCCATTCAATATATAATATTCGATCCTAATTATAAGACCTCGTTTATAGTCTACAAATAAGATTTTATAATTAGGACCAATTGTAGTACTAATAATATATCTGACTCGTGTTTTTCTATGAGAAAGAAGCATATTTGTTGGAAAGATTTTGATCTTAAAACTTCTGATTAGATAGAGATTATACTTAAATATAAAGTGACTTGAGAATGTTTTGAATTATACGAAAAAAATGATTATACTGTGGCAAAAGAAAATAATATTATTTTTTTTACTAATCATGTATTTTTTTAATTGAAAACAATCTTATTTGAGGGAAAGTAAATCCGCATGAATAAGGTGCCTTCCTCTTTTTACTTAAAAAAATTTAAAAAAAACCTTCAAATTCCAATGTGTTTATTGTATGATGTTATGGTTCATCCATGGACGATAATGCTGTCCATTCTTCCGTCAATTATCAAAACATAAAATCATTCATTGGTTCCCAGCATCCACTCCCGCCAAGGCACCAATGGGTAATGGCGCTGTGGCTTTGGGATTATCTTATTTTTTTTACCAAAGACTATGAATAATTATTTAATTAAGAAAAACAAAATAGAGAACATTTTTATTGAACTCAGCTACTTTAAGGGTTAATCCGAAACTCAAAATAGGACTTATTTAATAAATTTAATTAAATTAAGAAAGTTAAAAAAGTTAGTTAATTATAAAAAAAATATAATATTTTTTTTAAAACATCGTAATTATCTTTCTTAATATCTTTCTTCTCCCTCCTATTTGATTATGATTGTGGGAGTATTAATAAGAATAATTTTAAAAAAATTAATAAATGGGACAAATAGATCTTATATTTAAAATCAAAATTAACTCAATAATTAAGTTTTACATTAAGATTGGAGTATCTTTTTTATTCTTCAAAAAGAAAGCAGTTGTAATGAAAAAAATGGACGCTCATGTTTTTTTTTTATATATTAGTATTATAATCATGATAAAATTAGCATTACTAACTCTAAAATTTGTTATCACAAACTGTTGTTATGAAATTTTTCTAGTGAATATATATTTTTTTGTAAAATCTTATAGTAATTTTGGGAAGAAAAAAAACCACCGCACAAAGCATCGAAATTTGATTTCACTGCCGACGAGTCTGCTCACCCGCTGCTGCTCCCTCTCCTCACTCACTCTCTCATCACTTCCCATTCACAGCTTAGCCTCTCTTTTGATCTTCGGATTTTTTTACCCAAATATGTAAACAGTTAAAAAAATTTACTCAGGTACAATAGATCAAAAATATTTATCGAGATATTATACTTGAAAATCGTTTAGATTGTGATTGAGTTTAAATTTATATAGAACTTATTCTGATAAAAAATGAATTTAATAAGACCCACGTCATAAAATAACAGAACTCGTTTAACAAAAAGTAAATTCAGTAAAACCCACCTCACAAAATGGAACTCATTCTTTGAACAAAATCAGTGGGACTCATTAAAAAAAAAGTGAATTCATTTCTCTTCTAATTACATTTTTTTCCTCTGGACTCTGTGATCCTTCTACAATATGACCTTTTCTGTACACTCCGTACACTCTGTACGCTCTTTATTTTCAAACGGAGATCCAAGTCATTGACCATTGAAGGCTAAAACAGTAAATACGAAAAAAGTGAAAACAGACTTAAGGAAAAATGCTTCACCACGTCAAATTATCAAACCAACGCTTTAGGTGCAAGAGGAAAGTCAACGATCACTGTTTGTCATATTGGGGTACAAACCTTTGATCTTCCCATTCCTCCTCCTCCTTCTTCCTCCCTCCATGGCCACACAAGGCAAGCCTCTCTCCTCCTCAGATGTAAGAGAAGCCACGCTGAGCGATCTCCAACTCGCCTTCAGTAGAGATCAACTAACCTCCAGGCAGCTCGTTGAGTTCTACCTTCGAGAAATCGACAGGCTCAACCCTATTCTCAAGGGAGTGTTGGAGCTTAATCCTGATGCGCTAGCCCAGGCTGATGGGGCCGACCAAGAACGACGTCGTGCAGGACGTCCTTTGCCAAAACTGCACGGAATCCCGATTCTGGTGAAGGACAACATTGCAACTAAGGATAAGATGAACACAACGGCTGGGTCTTATGCTCTTCTGGGGTCTGTGGTGCCTAGAGATGCAGGGGTGGTCTCCAAGTTGAGAAAAGCTGGGGCCATCATCTTAGGGAAGGCTACTTTGAGTGAGTGGTCCAATTACAGGGGACATAATATACCCTCTGGCTGGAGTGCTAGAGGCGGGCAAGGCAAGGTGAATCACTTATCCTGCCAAAATTCATAAGGACTAATATACGGTGCACAAGCTTACATTCATGTCAAAATGTTAAAATCCTTTAGGTTTCAAGACTGATTCATCTTGTCATTGGAATCATAGAAGGGACTTTAGGATAAAGTGTTGGAACATCTGTAAATGAATGAGATATTGTAAAATGAAGTAATTTTTTTACAGCTGACAGTTTGTTCTGGTATATATGGATGAGCTTGAGAGGAGATGTGTCATGAATGGGCTATATTTTAGTACGGGCTAGAACCATAAGGCTTCATCAGTTGGGCTTGTGAGGAGTGGTTAATTATAAAGATGAACACTAGGGGTGTTGTGTTTGTTCTTTCTTCTGTGCTATCGGACCATAACAAGATACATGCTTTTTCTGTTAATGCCTTCATGTGTTGTTGTTGCTGCAGAATCCATACACAATGGGTGATCCTTCTGGTTCTAGTAGCGGATCTGCAATATCAGTTGCAGCAAATCTTGTAACAGTGTCTCTTGGTACTGAGACTGATGGCTCCATTTTATGTCCTTCCGATTCTAACTCTGTAGTGGGCATAAAACCAACCGTTGGTCTCACGAGTAGAGATGGAGTAGTTCCCATCACACCTCGACAAGACACAGTAGGGTAAGTCAACTTCAAGTGATACATTAAACACTTCCATCTGATCTTCCTAAACACGTCTTGATGTTTTTGTACAAATTACAAGATTTTGTGTGCTGTTTCCAAATGGGTTTATCTCATATGGTTAGAAGTGTGTAGTATCATGGAGGGCCAAATGGTAAAGTTTCATCTGCGATTTCTTTTCTGATATAGAAGAAAATTTGCATAAATATAATTTAACAAATGTGTACAATGGTGGGGAATGTCGCAGACCAATTTGCAGGACTGTATCAGATGCTGCATATGTTCTCGAAGCCATTGCAGGCGAAGACATTAGGGATAAGGCAACCATTGAAGCATCAAAGTATGTCCCAAAAGGAGGATATGCTCAGTTTCTGAGAATAGATGGGCTAAGAGGAAAGAGGGTTGGAATTGTGAGATTTTTCTACGAGTTTGGCAATAATACTTTCCGGCAGAAAACTTTAGAACAACACCTGGAGATACTAAGGTATATATATTGAAAACAACTATGAATGGCTCGAATCAGTTCTGGCAAATTGTTGAGGTGAGCTGTTAATACTTTGATTCATATTTTAGGCAACAAGGCGCTGTTTTGGTTGACAATTTGGTGATAGATAACATCAACGAATTCTTTACCAGCTCGAGTGAAGACATTGCAATGTCAATTGAATTCAAACCATCCCTGAACTCGTACCTTAAAAACCTGGTCGCTTCCCCAGTGAGAACCTTAGCAGATGTAATTGCCTTCAACGAGGAACATGCTGAATTGGTAAGGATGTTGTTACAACTTGATGTATAAGCTTTTAAACATACCATTTTGTTGCCCTAAAATATTGCTAAAAGTAAAAATGTTAAACATATCATTAAAACCTAGCATGGAAAGGCCACATGATTGTTACATGGTGCCACTTTTCCGCCTCGCATGATAGTTTAGGAGAGTTATAAGTTGTTTCTCCTAATATATGTGATTCCAGACACTAAAGTTAAAGTGATATAGTGAAAACAAAAGTTTTGGTAAAGAATTTGACAGTGTTCAGAAAATTGCAGGAGAGACTTGATGAGTATAACCAGGACTTTATGGTGGAAGCTCAAAAGACAAGTGGAATGGGGAAAATAGGAAATGAGGCATTATCAAACATGACAAGGTTGTCTGAGAATGGATTTGAGAAACTTATGAAGGTGAATAACCTAGATGCAGTGGCGATCCCTGGTGCAGTTTTTAGTCGTGTACTTGCCATTGGAGGTTATCCTGGAATCGTTGTGCCTGCGGGGTACGACAAGGACGAGCCATTTGGGATTTGCTTTGGAGGGTTGAGAGGGTCAGAGCCAAAGCTTATTGAAATTGCTTATTCATTTGAACAAGCTACTAAGGTTAGGAGGCCACCACCGCGCCTTCATGAGCTGAAAGCTTAAATTAAAATGAACAGATGATTCTGATAATTAACTAGATGCAATCAAGTTTGTTTGAACAAATAAGGAGTGAGTTCATTCGAAGTTTTATCATTTGTGCGTTGTACGGTTGTAGACTTGTAGTATCATTTACCAAGAATCTGAATCCAATGGTTGGGAAGTACAAAATTGCCCAATGATCAGTTAAAGCAAATCTAATCCCCACGCACAGCATATAGACGTATTAAATTTACAGGAAGATCATGCTAGATTTGTTATAATTAATTAATTCCAATTTCTTAATATATCCAAATTAACTAACTTTTAGCTTTTATGTTCGATGGCAGAGAGAGTATTATACTAGCATTAGTAATTATTATTTCGGTTTTTAATATAAGACTTTGTTTGATTTTTATTTTAATTCTAATTATAAAATCCCAATTTATTTTGTCTTTCATATTTATGCATTTTTTTCTAAGATAATCCTTTTAATAATAGTAGTTCTAGCTAATAAACTTGATTAGTAAGGATATTTTAGGAAAGATAACATCTATTTATTACAAACAACTAACTTAACTTATTTTCTTAATCTCTTCAAATTAATCAACTAGTTCTTATAATTAGGATCGGAAATAGTAGTTGTTAGCATATTAATAAAATATCATCAACACATGTGAAGTCATAATCAACACGGACACGGTGTCCTAAAAATTGATCACGCTTCCTATTCTGAGCTGAAGATCAAACTTCATTTAGTATATTAATAAGTCTACCCAAAGTATGTCCACATGGCAAACAACGAATAACCAAACATAGCATTTTAGGCTTTAGCCTTCCCGATCCAAATGTCTTTCTCATTTCTTCTCTTATTCTTTCATGGTAATGTCACTTCTGAATCGCTTGGTATTGTCTTCTCTCTTTGTTGTGGCCCCTTCACACTGTCTGGTATTCTCCTTTCATCAAAGGGCCTGTTTGAGTGACTTCCAAAAGTATGGTTTGGGAGGCAACACCATAATTGGGTGAAATGTCACCCAAACAGCATCAATTTTGATGTCATAATTTGAAACATGGTTTAAGAGAAGTAAATCTATTCTGCTTCTGACTCAAATTGGAGAGTATGATTGTGCTTGTCAGAGTAAATCTCAACAATAATATGACTTTAATATCCCTCAATTAATTTTTTATAACATATTAATCTTATATCTTATAAATAGATATACACATATTGATTATTCATTAATTATATTATCTTATGTATTATTAATTATGTTGGTAAAAATATATTATTAACAATTTTATTCCTTCAAATTAAAATATATCATAAAATCTATCTTTTATGTAATTATCATATTAACTTATGTCTTTTTTAGTAATTTGTATATATAAAAAGTACTTCTGATAATAACTATCCAAACATTCTTACTTCTCAAAATCACTTTTTCACAAAATATATTCTTCACAAAATTTATTCTCCCCAAAATCCATTCTCCATAAACTATTCTCCAAACTATGGTTTGGTTTCATCGAGACACCCCCTTAATATTACTTTTAACCTGACGTGGATGTTATAATTTATAGGCTTTGAAATGATAAAGTACAAAGGCGATAGGGCGTAGTCATTCATTTGGCACCGTGGGCCCTGCTGAAGCTACATGCACCGGCTCCCACCTTGCACTACCACCAGTGAAAAATCAGCAAAACGTACCATGATTCCAAGCAAACGTTAATGCCTAATGTCTTGCAATGGAGCATATATGTTGATTTGAAGTTTCCATCCCCACCTGTGACAGCAAGGAAACAACAATACATGCACTGTTGATTTCACTGCTCACTCTCTCTCATGGCTTCCCATTCACAGCTTAGCCTCTCTTTGATCTTCCCATTCCTTCTTCTTCTCTTCTTCTTCTTCTTCTTCTCTCCATGCCCACACAAGACAAGCCTATCTCTTTCTCAAAAATGGCCTTTTTGGACGGGAATCCCCCAGAAAGACTCTGTATGCCAATTGTTGATCATATTCAGTCCTTGAGTGGTGAAGTTCATCTCAATTCTCGCATTCAAAAAATTCAGCTGCATGATGAAGGGAATGTAAAGAATTTGTTATTAAATTATGGGAAGGTGATTGAAGGAGACGCTTATGTGTTTGCAACTCCAGGTACCATTTTTCTGTATCATCTCCTTGCAGTCCTTTTTCTTTTCTATTCTTTTTTTTCTTTCCCTTTTTGGCTTTTGGCGTTCTGTCTTTCTGTTTCTTCTTCACATTCTTACTTTTGTTCAATTAGTTGATATCCTAAAGCTTCTTCTGCCTAACGACTGGAAAGAAATTCCTTATTTCAAGAAATTGGAGAAACTGGTGGGAGTTCCGGTCATAAATGTTCACATATGGTCAGTGATGACTTTTACTGTGGAAACCATCTTTTTGTCTTTGTGCTCGCCAAATTTGCTTTCACTTAATTGTTATAGTTATGGTCATTGTTATATATTGTTGCCGGAAATTGTATGTAGAGTTTAACATTCATAATTTAGTCACTGAGGAACATAAGATATTTGGTTATCAGACATCCCTTGCGATATGTGCAATATTACTTTTCGTTTTCTCTTTTTATATATTAATTAACCTTTCTTCTCACAACAAGAACAAAGGTATTTTATGATCTCAGAATTACTTTTCCCACTGGCTTGGTAACATATATTATGCCTCGTGCAGGTTTGATAGAAAACTGAAGAACACATATGATCACCTACTTTTTAGCAGGTCATTCTCTCACTTTGGATGAATTACAGTGTCTAGAAGGGATAGAAATTCTGTACGCTTGGTGTCTCGTTTAATTTGTGGCTTATAATTTCCTTTGTGCTAAGAAAACCAGGTTGGACCAACTGGTTCAAAAGGAAAACATTTGAACTGGATGGCCCTTTTTCAGTCTGGTCAGCCCATGAGCTGGAGGGTTAGAGAACTGTTCTAGTCAAACTTAATTGGTTCGTTTCTCTGTGGGATAGGCTGGTTTTCCTCTTCTGTCCATTGTAAATACATTCTGGATGGAAAAGTACTATTGCATGTTATCAAAGCCAGTATTTGATGCGTCAAAAGGAGGTGCTTATCACTTAGCCATGTCATGTGTTTGTTGAACGTGGCCTTTATTATATTATTTGTCCACCATTGTTAGAAATTTATTTTATGTGCAAAACTTAGTCTCTTATTGTACTCATAAAGCCTCATTACCATGATGACGATGATATTCTTTCTATAACACTCTTAGCACTCCCCAGAAAGTTGGAGCATTGATTTCACTAAAATTACGGAGACCCTTTTATTTTGCCCCCTTGTTTGTTATCTGGATGGTTGAAGCTTTTATTATTGATGAGGACTTTATTCAGTGAGATGAGAAGGGTCTATAGAGCGGGTTGACTTTGGGATAGGAGCATGTGACAGGGTTTTACTTGCAATTTGTGGACAATAATTTCTAATTATTTGTTACAAGTGTTGGGGATTTCTTCGTTACTGTTGCTTGAAAATAATCCTTTAGCTTCCAGCTATTTATTCATTACAAAATTTTTATCAATGGTTTCTGGACTTTAACCTCACAGATGTTCATATTTTCTTTCCTTCACGCAGAAGTCCCCTTCTGGGTGTATATGCTGACATGTCAGTAGCTTGTAAGGTAAAAGCCACTTTTCATATAATCTTTTTCCAAGCCACCACGATGCATTTGTTCCCATGCAATCTTTTCTCTCCTGTCATTTTTCTTTCTATTCGCAAATCATTTTAGATTTCAGCTATTTATGTATGCTTTTACCGTGTTCATATTGCTCAACTTAATCTGCATATACACCCAATGTATGCTTACGATTTCATGTTAGGATGTAGATGGGGTAAGGAGATGAATTTGTTGCCTCTGGTTTATGTATGAAGAGTTCCTTTTCGTGTTTCATTATCTTACACAGGAATATTATAGCCCAAACCAGCCTATGCTGGAGTTGGTTTTTGCACCAGCTGAAGAATGGATTTCACGCAGTGATGAAGATATTATTGGGGCCACAATGAAGGAACTTTCCAAACTCTTTCCGGATGAAATTTCTGCAGACCAAAGCAAAGCAAAGATAGTCAAGTACCATGTTGTTAAAACGCCAAGGTTTGATTGATTTGCCGTAAAGATGGATTAGTCCCTTTAAGTTCTCTGAATATTGACTGTCAAGTGTTAACTAAATGATTTGGTTTCATCTAAACACTCCTAAGTCGAATTACACTTGTGGATAAGCATCGTTCTGAAGCTTTCATCAAGTCACCATTAATCATATCATACCATTAAAGATCCAGCTTTTGCAACCATGGAGCCTTTTCATGGGGAGATTTTCTAGATTATTTGTGGCAAATATCTACCTTGTAGACGATGTGGACAATAATACACAAAGGAAAACCGATTTTAGAATTGTATTTTTTTAAAAAACCCGATTTTAGAAGATATGTGATCATTACCTACTGTACCCTATTCGGCCCAATGGCAAAGCCGAGAGGGAACCTCGTATAGCAGCAAAAGCATTCGCAGGAAGCTCTGGTTGGAGCACTCATTTACTTGTAAGGTTATGAAGAATCAGGTTTTGTTACTGATATTCATCTCTCGAATCTCAAAATGGTGTGTATCATACGGTAAGAATATGAAATATATATACACACACACATATATATAATTTTCATGTAATTTTTATTGTTGGCATTATTTATTTATTTATTTATTGCATGTTGAGTTCTCTGTTTTTGTGTTGCGACTTGCCACAAATGCAGCTTAAAAGAAAAAAAACTAAAAACTTGTTTCTGAGTATTGGTTATGAATTTGATTGAAGTTACGATATACTCATGGGATTATGTACCTTACAGAAGGAAAAATGACAATTAAAGATCTTGTTAAATTGTCGATTTCAGTTACATATCTGCGATTATTAAAATTTTATTAAAGGACCATTAGGAGACAACTTTATTCTCGTGTGGATTATTTGATGTTTATAAGTGCTTTATCTATAATACATAATTGATTTTTATGTGATTCCAGTACTCTTGAAATGAAAAAAAAAATCAAATTAATTTCGGAAATGGTGAATATAATTGCTTTAAATCTTTATAATTTTCATTATTGTTGCTTTTGATCAATTCCTCCTGGGCTCCCACTTTCTTTGGCTATGCTTTACAATTCAATGTTGTCTTTTGGCTTTGTGGTCACTAATGGCGTCCGAGACTGTCGCTTTGTGATTCAATAGTACATGATTATCTAAATTTTATAATTTTTCAGTATTTTAAAACAATTCCTTAGATTAAAAATATTTTGAAATATCACAATTGAATCTCAAAACTACATGAAGAAATAAAAGGGGGAGGGGAAGGAACAATCTTTTATTTTTAGTTGTAATTTTTCTTATAAAAAGTTTCTTTATTTGCATAAAATTGTCTTTGAAACATGATAAATTTCCATAAATAATACATTCATACCCTTTAAATGAGCTTAAATATTTGAATTTTGCAAATAAAAAAAACGATATCAAAATATTCATCTCTGTGTTAGATGATAATGATAAAGCTAGGTACTAAATGGTTGTTAAATAAAGGAAAAGAAATATCTAATAAAGCCAAGACCCCACTCACCAACGTGATCCACATGTTAATAAAAAATCATCAAACTCCATTCAATATACTAATAATATATTTGAAATTGTCTCATGCTTGTTAAGAAAATTTTAACCTTAACATTCCTAATATATTAATATTAAATATAAAATGCCTCAAGAATATTCTGAATTATATTAAAAAAATATAATTATATTTTGGCAAAAAAATAATAAAATTTTTTGTTAAATATTTGTATTTTTTATTAAAAGTAATTTTATTCCAACCACACGCTGAAAGTAAATCGGCATGATTAAGATGCCTTCCTTTTTCTTACTTTAAAAAAAAAAAAAAAAAAGCTTTCAAATTCGAATGTGTTTATTATATGATGTTGTGGTTCACCCATGGATGATAATGCTGTCTGTTCTGTGGGCAAGGGCAACACTCTTCTGTCAACTATCAAAGCGTGCAATCATTCATTGGATCCCGCCGTCCACTCCCGCCAAGGCACCAACGGGTAATGGCGCGGGTGGCTTTGGGATTATCTTTTTTTGTTGACCAATGACTATGAATACTTATTCAATTAAGAAAAACAAAATAGAGAATATTTCTTGATAATCAATTCAGAGTTGTAATAATATTCATCTCTGTGTTAGATGATAAATGATAAAGCTAGGTACTAAATAGTTGTTAAATAAGGGAAAAGAAATACTCCCTCCGTTCCTTATTATAAGAGACATTTGGTGTTTATAGCATGTTCCTATATATAAGAGACACTTAAAAGTTGTCTCTACTTTTTTGTGTTGATTTTCTATTTTACCCATATTTATTGTCTCCAACTCACACTCTCTCTCCTTCCCACTTCTCTTTCTTTTAATAAATTACCATTGTTCTCTCTCCTTATTAATGAGGGTATTTTTGGAAAAAAATTATACTTTTTACATATTAATTGTTCTTAACTAATTTTAACTGTTTTTTGATCAACGTAATTCGGTTATTCGTCTCTTATAATAAGGAACGGAGGAAATATCTAATAAAGCCAAGACCCCACTCACCAACGTGATCCACATGTTAATAAAAAATCATCAAACTCCATTCAATATACTAATAATATATTTGAAATTGTCTCAAGCATGGCTGTTAAGAAAATTTTAACCTTAACATTCCTAATATATTAATATTAAATATAAAATGACTCGAGAATATTCTGAATCATATTAAAAAAATATAATTATATTTTGGCAAAAAAATAATAAAATGTTTTTGTTAAATATTTGTATTTTTTAATTAAAAGTAATTTTATTCCAACCACACGCTGAAAGTAAATCGGCATGATCAAGATGCCTTCCTTTTTCTTACTTTAAAAAAAAAAAAAAAGCTTTCAAATTCGAATGTGTTTATTATATGGTGTTGTGGTTCACCCATTGATGATAATGCTGTCTGTTCTGTGGGCAACACTCTTCTGTCAACTATCAAAGCGTGCAATCGTTCATTGGATCCCGCCGTCCACTCCCGCCAAGGCACCAACGGGTAATGGCGCGGGTGGCTTTGGGATTATCTTTTTTTGTTGACCAAGACTATGAATACTTATTCAATTAAGAAAAACAAAATAGAGAATATTTCTTGATAATCAATTGTCTATTTTATACAAAAGAGATATAAAGAAGTACTTCTAAAAGTTCAGAGTTGTAATTGAAAAAAATGGACGCTCCTTACCCCAAAAAATGGGCGCTCATGTTCTTTTTTTATATTAGTATTATAATCATGGTAAAGTTCGCATTTCATCCTAACAATCTTGAAACTTATTATTATAAACTATTCAGTGATTATAAAATTTTTTAAGAAAAAAAAAGCTAAAAATTATTAAATCTCAAATTATGTTTAGTAATAGTATTTTATTTGGTATTAACAATACTAAATTTATAAATAATAACAAATTTTTGTTAATATTTCTTATTTAGTATTTAGTAATTTTCAGGTTTTTTATTTTTTTAATAAATATTTTTTTCCTTAAAATCTTATAGAATCTTGGTTAATTGGTATTACTCCTATTTCTCACTTTGCATCGAGCAAGCTCATGAGACACACGTTCTCTGACAGCAAACATTGTCAGCAGTCAACTGCGCACTGGGTTCTTGGGATTTTAAGTTTGCTTTCAGATTAGACGTAAAGGAGGAATTTTGTTCTACAAAAGGCAGCTCTTAGCCTCTTAGTTCCCACCACCGCTACCCAAAGCATCGAAATTTGATTTCACTGCTGACGAATCTACTCACCTGCTGCTGTTCCCTCTCCTCACTCGCTCTCTCATGGCTTCCCATTCACGGCTTAGCCTCTCTTTGATCTTCCCCTTCCTCCTCCTCCTTCTTCTGCTCTCCGTGGCCACACAAGGCAAGCATCTCTCCTTCTCCAATAGAAGAGAAGCCACGCTCAGCGATCTCCAACTCGCCTTCCGTAGAAATCAACTAACCTCCAGGCAGCTCGTTGAGTTCTACATTCGAGAAATCCACAGGCTCAACCCTATTCTCAAGGGGGTGTTGGAGCTTAATCCTGATGCGCTAGCCCAGGCTGACAGGGCCGACCGAGAACGACGTCGTGCAGGACGTCCTCTGCCAAAACTTCACGGCATACCGATTCTGGTGAAGGACAACATTTCAACCAAGGACAAGATGAACACAACGGCTGGGTCTTATGCTCTTCTGGGGTCCGTGGTGCCTAGAGACGCAGGGGTGGTCTCCAAGTTGAGAAAAGCTGGGGCCATCATCTTAGGGAAGGCTACTTTGAGTGAGTGGTCCAGTTACAGGGGACATAATATACCCTCTGGCTGGAGTGCTAGAGGCGGGCAAGGCAAGGTGAATCACTTATCCTCCCAAAATTCATAAGGACTAATATACGGTGCACAAGCGTACATTCATGTCAAAATGTTAAAATCCTTTAGGTTTCAAGACTGATTCATCTTGTAATTGGAATCATAGAAGGGACTTTAGGACAAAGTGTTGGAACATCTGTAAATGAATGAGATATTGTAAAATGAAGTAATTTTTTTTACAGCTGACAGTTTGTTCTGGTATATATGGATGAGCTTGAGAGGAGATGTGTCATGAATGGGCTATATTTTAGTACGGGCTAGAACCATAAGGCTTCATCAATTGGGCTTGTGAGGAGTGGTTAATTATAAAGATGAACACTAGGGGTGTTGTGTTTGTTCTTTCTTCTGTGCCATCGGACCACAACAAGATACATGCCTTTTCTGTTAATACCTTCATGTGTTGTTGTTGCTGCAGAATCCATACACAATGGGTGATCCTTGTGGGTCTAGTAGCGGATCTGCAATATCAGTTGCAGCAAATCTTGTAACAGTGTCTCTTGGTACTGAGACTGATGGCTCCATTTTATGTCCTTCCGATTCTAACTCTGTAGTGGGCATAAAACCAACTGTTGGTCTCACTAGCAGAGATGGAGTAGTTCCCATCACACCTAGACAAGACACAGTTGGGTAAGTCAACTTAAGTGATGCATTGAACACTTTCCATTTATCTTCCTAGAAACGTCTTGATGTTTTTGTACAAATCACAAAATTTTGCGGGTTGTTTCCAAATGGGTGTATCTCATATGGTTCAAAATATGTCATCTAATCTCATGATTCTTTTCCTATTCTTTCTTAATCATACTGATATTTTTCATTCAATTTTGAACAAGTTTAATCATGTGAAGATTAGAATGTTAAAGAATTCCATTGTTAGAAGAAAATTTGCAATAAGGATAATTTAAAAAATGTGTACAATGGTGGGGAATGTTGCAGACCAATTTGCAGGACTGTATCAGATGCTGCATATGTTCTCGAAGCCATTGCAGGCGAGGACATTAGGGATAAGGCAACCATTGAAGCATCAAAGTATGTCCCAAAAGGAGGATATGCTCAGTTTCTGAGAATAAATGGGCTAAGAGGAAAGAGGGTTGGAATTGTGAGATTATTCTACGAGTTTGGGAATAATACTTTCCTGCAGAAAACTTTTGAGCAACACCTGAAGACACTAAGGTATATATTGAAAACTATTAATGATGGCTCAAATCAGTTCTGGCAAATTGTGGAGGTAAGCCATTAATACTTTGATTCATATTTTAGGCAACGAGGCGCTGCTTTGGTTGACAATTTGGTGATAGATAACATCAACGAACTCTTTACCAGCTCGAGTGAAGGCATTGCATTGTCAATTGAATTCAAACTATCCCTGAACTCATATCTTAAAAACCTGGTTGCTTCCCCAGTGAGAACCTTAGCAGATGTAATTGCCTTCAACAAGAAGCATGCCAAATTGGTAAGGATGTTGTTCATGTTTGATATGCATGGAAAACTATATATAACCTGTTTGAGCTATACTTAGTTACAACTTGATACATAAGCTTTTAGACGTATCATTTTGTTTCCCTAAAATATTACTAAAAGTGAAAATGTTAACGTATCATTAAAACCTGGTATGTAAAGCCACATGATTGTTACATGATGCCACTTTTCCCCCTCGCATGATTCTCATTGCCCTAAATTATTAGGTATCTTGTGACTATCACATGGTTTAACTGTTATGTAATGTTTTCGCATCTGTGATACTTAAGAGTAAAGTATTTCATTTTACTGTCTGCGTAATAAAACGTTATTAGACTACAGTTTAGGAGAGTAATATATAGTTTCTCTTAATATATATGAAAGTGATACAGTGAAAACAAAAGTTTTGGTAAAGCACTTGACAGTGTTAAGAAAATTGCAGGAGAAACTCGATGAGTATAACCAGGACTTCATGGTGGAAGCTCAAAAGACAACGGGAATGGGAAAAATAGAAAATGAGGCATTATCAAACATGACAAGGTTGTCTGAGAATGGATTTGAGAAACTTATGAAGGTGAATAAACTAGATGCAGTGGCGATCCCTGGTGTAGACTTTAGTCCTGGTGTAGACTTTCGTCATGTACTTGCCATTGGAGGTTATCCTGGAATCGTTGTGCCTGCGGGATACGACAAGGACGAGCCATTTGGGATTTGCTTTGGAGGGTTGAGAGGGTCAGAGCCAAAGCTTATTGAAATTGCTTACTCATTTGAACAAGCTACTAAGGTTAGGAGGCCACCTCCGCGCCTTCAAAAGCTAAAAGCTTAAATTAAAATGAACAGATGATTCTGATAATTTATGTAATAAGTTTGTTTAAACAAGTAAAGGGTGAGTTCATTCGAGTTTTATCAGAATTGTATGTTGCGGTGAATTTGTACGCTGTAGTCATCATTTGCCGCACATTGAAACCCGCGCACAGCATATAAACATACTAAATTTGCAGAAAAATCACTTATAATTAATTAATTTGACTTTCTTAATATATCTAAATTAATTAACTTCTAGCTTTTATAGTAGGTAGCAGAGAGAGTACCATGCTAACATTATTAATTAATTATCGGCGTACTAATAAAATGTCATGAACATATGTGAAGTCATAAAAAATGATCAAACTTCATTTAATATATTAATAATTCTACCCAAAGTGTATCAACATGGTAAACAACCAATAACCTAGCGTGGCATTTTAGGCCTTATCCTTCCCAATCCAAGTGCGTTTCTCATTCCTAATCTTATCCTTCCATGGTAGTGTCACTTCTGAATCACTTGGCATTGTCTTCTCTCTTTGTTGTGGTCCCTACACACTGCCCCATATTCTCCTTTACCCACTAAATATTACTTTTAAGTTTTAACCCGACCTGAATATTACGATCTCCGGTGCTTAATATAAGATGTAGTTAACTAATTCAAGAAGATTAAAAAAATTAATTAGATTAGTTATTTGTAATAAACATGTATTGTGTTTCCTAAAATATCTTTACTAATAATATATACTAGCTAAAATTATCATTTGATAGAACATTTAATATGTATAACCTATAATAACTATTTTAAAAAAAATAAATATAAAAATAAAATAAATTACTCTTTTATATTTAAAATCAAATTAAAAGTCTGTCAACATGATCTGTAAGCTTTGAAATGATCAGGTACAGAAGCGACAGAGCATAATCGTCATTTGGCACCGTGGGCCCTGCTGAAGCTACTTGCAGTGGCTCCCACCTTGCACTGCCGCCACTGAAAAATCAGCAAGACGTACCATGATTCCAAGCAAACGCTAATGCCTAATGTCTTCCAATGGAGCATATATGTTGGTTTGAGGTGTCCATCCCCACCTGTGAGAGCAAGGAAACAATACACGCACTGTTGATGTCACTGCTCACTCCCTCTTATGGCTTCCCATTCACAGTTTAGCCTCTCTTTGATCTTCCCATTCCTTCTTCTTCTTCTTCTCCTCTCTATGCCCACACAAGGCAAGCCTGTCTCTTTCTCAAATATAAGAGAAGCCACGCTCAGCGATCTCCAACTCGCCTTCCGTAGAAATCAACTAACCTCGAGGCAGCTCGTTGAGTTCTACATTCGAGAAATCCACAGGTTCAACCCAATTCTCAAGGGGGTGTTGGAGCTTAATCCTGATGCGCTAGCCCAGGCTGACAGGGCCGACCGAGAACGATGTCGTGCAGGACGTCCTCTGCCAAAACTGCACGGCATACCGATTCTGGTGAAGGACAACATTTCAACCAAGGACAAGATGAACACAACGGCTGGGTCTTATGCTCTTCTGGGGTCCGTGGTGCCTAGAGAGGCAGGGGTGGTCTCCAAGTTGAGAAAAGCTGGGGCCATCATCTTCGGGAAGGCTACCTTGAGTGAGTGGTCCTATTTCAGGGGAAATAATTTACCCTCTGGTTGGAGTGCTAGAGGTGGACAGGGCAAGGTGATCTACTTCTCTTTTGTCCCTTCTTCTATGTGTTTTTGCTTTTCTACGGTGTAATACTGGGGAGTACTGATGTAAGACGCCCAAGTTTATCTACATGTCAAAGTGACTAGATGTCTTAAACTTTTCTGAAGATTGTATCCACATTTAAATATTGCTGAAACGTGTGATGAATTTAAGGAGGAAAAAAAAAACAGAGAGAGAGAGAGAAGAAGGAGCTGCACAGAACCCTATAAAATGTATGAAAACGATTGATGTCTCCATGTGTTGTGTTCACTGTAGAACCCATACACGATGGGCGATCCTTGTGGATCTAGCAGCGGACCTGCAATATCAGTAGCAGCAAATCTTGTAGCAGTGTCTCTTGGTACTGAGACTTTTGGCTCCATTTTATGTCCCTCCAGTTATAACTCCGTAGTGGGCATCAAACCTACTGTTGGTCTCACTAGCAGAGATGGGGTGGTTCCAATCTCCCAAAGACAAGACACAGTAGGGTAAGTTAATTTCAATCGTCAGTTGCATTTACATGTCTCAATGTTCTTTAAACAGATCACAAAATTTGTGTAGTGCTCTGGTATAATATGAATGTCTCCTGAAGCTTGAAACATGTCATTTAATCAAGTAAATAGATCTGTTATCAGTTTGTTTTGTTAGAACCATGAATATTCAAATGTTAAGACAAACGATATTATTGTGCAATTGGATTTTCTGACAGAGACAAGATTTTGAATGTGGGAATGCCTTTAACAATTGTGCAATGGTGTGGGATGGTGCAGACCTATTTGTAGGACTGTCTCAGATGCTGCATATGTTCTTGAGGCCATTGCAGGCGTTGACGTACGTTAGGGATAAGGCAACAATTAAAGCATCAAAATATGTCCCAAGAGGTGGATACACTCAGTTTCTGAGAAAAGACGGTCTAAGAGGTAAAAGGATAGGGATAGTGAGGTACTACTACAAGTTTAACGGTACTTCGCTGCAGAAAACTTATGAGCAACACCTAAAGACACTAAGGTAATGAAAACCATCATGCATCGTTTAAACCATGCTAGTGAATTGCTGCAACAAGTTGCTAACACTTGGAATCACATTTAGGCAGCAAGGGGCAGTACTGATTGACAATTTGGAGATAGATAACGTTGAAATAATCGAGGATGCGGGATATGAATTCACTGCTTTGCATGCTGAATTTAAAATAGCCTTGAACTCATACCTTAAAGCTTTAGTTAATTCTCCAGTGAAAACCTTAGCAGATGTGATTCACTACAACAACAAACGCGCAGACTTGGTAAGCAAGTTGTGTATAACCCCATTCTTTATATATGTTAAAATATTAATTACCTTTTAAGGTCCATAGGTCAAAATTAATATTAGACAGTAACCAAGAAAATTGTATATATTTCTTCTTACTATAGATAATATAGCCACTTGAGTCTAAATTGAAATGATTAGATATATGATTAAATATTTAAAACTGAAGTCGGCATGGAGGATTTGACCGTTTGAAGTAATTGCAGGAGAAAACTGAAAAGTACAGCCAAGACGTTATGTTGGCAGCTCAGAAGACGAATGGAATTGGGAAGAAAGAACGGGCAGCATTATTAGTCCTGGCATGGCTGTCCAAGAATGGAATCGAGAAAGTCATGAAAGTGAATAAACTAGATGCAGTGGTGACCTCTGGTTTTGATTTTGCTACTGTACTTGCCATTGGAGGGTATCCAGGAATTACTGTGCCTGCAGGTTACAATGAGGGCGAGCCAGTGGGAATTTGCTTTTCAGGTTTGAGAGGTTCAGAACCAAGGCTGATTGAGATTGCTTATTCATTCGAGCAAGCAACTAAGCTTAGGAGGCCACCACCACTTCATAAGCTGCGAGCCTAAATTAAATATCAGCATATCATCCTGATGAACAAATGTTCTGATAATTAATCATCAATAAATAAGTTAATTCGAACAATAGTGTCTTTGTTTTCTAATTAATCAACAACTAAAGACACCAAACAATGGATTAAAACCAAAAAAAAGAAAAGGAAATTCTTTTCTTCTGATGCTTGAAGACTCCTTATTTCTCTAAATTTATAGAAATAGAATAATGAATTTACCCATAATGGACGGTAAAACTCGAAATATCTTTATCTATTATTTATGGCAATGTATATATGTCGAAACATTGTTATCCTAGAGACGAAGCTTTGAACAGGAACAAACACCAATCTGATGATCATCACATACACATGTAAGTCTGTATCAGTTTCAGCGCAGCGAATATGGCTGAAGATGCCGAGGACGCAATTGAAGATCTCTGACGCAGAATGCATAGCAGAAGCGAGAAAGTAAACAAAGACGCGTGCAAAGACATGATGATGCATCATGAAATATGCAATCTATAGATGTGTGGATATTGATCCTTATTAACCACCGACCACACCCAGGTCTCCAAATTCTGATAAGACACATTTTCAAATTCTTCTTGCAGAGACAAGAGAGGGTAGGGGGAGCACGAATTAAGGAAACAAAGGGTTAGTGGACGAAGTGGGGAAGAGCCCAAGACAACACAACCACATATCACCCTTTAAATTTTTTTTTTTCATTGTTTCATTTTTAGCACTGTGAATAGTTACCAAAGGCATTACATCCTTACCTAAGGGACTATTTTGTGACTATAATTTGATCTGAGTTTAGTTTCATGGCCAACTCTATCTCCATTTTTCTATCTTACCTTTCTCAAAGAACTAGACATGTTTTCCTAGAAGCGAATACAAATTCGAGGAATAAACCATACTATTGACTTGTGAATAGTATGCTTGCTATCAATCTTATTATATATATATATTAATATGATGTTGATATTGATTAGAAGGAAGGGTGTCTTAACAAGCAAGCCGCATGTATATAACAACAATACAAGTAGTGACTCATGGGGAGTACTGATGTGCACAATACGGTATACATGTCAAAATATTAAAACTAGATATCTTTTCATCTGATGTACGAGAGATAAATAAAATCAGTGATCCTTTCTCGGGTCTAGGAGCGGATCCGCAGTATCAGTACGTAGCAGCAAGTCTTGTGGGCGTGTCTCTTGGTACTGAGACTGAAACAGAAGAATGACTTGACTCATAATAGGCAACAAAACGCGATATACATATGTGTGTGTATTTGGATCCAGTACCCACGGCAATGTATATATGTCGGAACACTATTACTATAGAAGACGAAGCTTTTTAACAGGAATGATCATCAGGTGTACAGTACATATCAGTTTGAGTGCAGAGAGGAGAACCATCTAATGGGACATGAAAATTCACAAGTCTGGCGCATTATTATATATATAGATATAGAAATAGCAGAACCAGTGGTTGACGAGATACATTAATCATACGAAGACCCTGGCGGCACCAGGAGGGAGAGCATCGTCAGGGCTCAACGGGACCTCCCTCAATACAGTCTTAAGGCCCTTCCCTCCTGCATTTGCTAGAGGATGGACTCCATGAACAAGCCCTGGAATGTACTCTCTCTTCTCTCTCTCCTTCTTGAAGTCAACCCCAAAACGCTGCCCAACATCTGCATTAATTAAGTCATGTGTGAATGACTTGCAAGCAAGCACAGATTAAAGCAGAAGATATGTACAAATAGATAGATGGCAATGTTGTAATAAGGAAGGAAGGTACTATGGAGGAGGTCTTGATCAATCTGGCCGTCTCTTGTGAAAGCCATCATAAGCTGAGGCAGGCCAAATGGGAGAGGGTGACCCTTATCGACTTGCCAGAAATGGTAGGTTTTGCCATAAGTCTTGCTCAGAATTTCCATTTCGTGGAGCTCGATAGGTCGTGGCAGTCTGGGCATGAACAGTATGGCTCCCTTGACCTCGAAGAGGTGAGAGTGCCAGAGCTTCTTCTCCTCGTCCGGCAGCGTCAAGAAGATATGCTCCGGTACGATATACTCCACCCCAATCAACTTGCTTGTTTTCTCAGGCCCATCGAAGATCAGGCACTGCCTCACCTCCTCGTTCAGGTGGCCGCAGAAGTGGTGCGCCTCCACTTGCCGCGTCATGTCATCGGCGTAAAAATGGAACCTTCACCAATCAAAGAATGATGAGTAGTAGCATATACACTGGAATTGAAATATTACTGATGAAAGAGAGAATAAATGATTATAATACGTACGCGCAAAGGTGTTGGTGAATGTTGTTGACGGGGGCGAAGCTTTGGATGGCGGAAGTGGCGGTCTCGAGGAGCGAGGTGCCGGTGGCGGTGGGTTCACCGGGGACTTGCGAGTCGTTGTTGGGCGCTGCCATACTGTCGAAAGTCTGGGCATGGACGAAGAGGAGAGAGATGGCAAGAAAGATTTAATAGGTGGGAGATTGATTAATGCATGGGGAAGCTAGCTGTGAGCTGGAGGTGATGGCATTGGGATGGCATGCACTTTCACGCGTGGCAGAGGCCACATGCTCACGTGCCTTTTCTCCGTCAATATCTGGGATTTAGTAAAACCATAATACGGCACCATGCATCCAGTCCACATACACGTTCAATGCCCAATTTAAAAACACGATTATAAATATTTATAAACACATTTTATTATATGTATTTATCAATATATTTTATATAAATTAAAATAAAAAATTTTCACATACTTACCTCATATTTAATAAATTACGATTAAAAAACTGCTTATAAATTATTTCAGACTGACATTAAATCTGGTTTGAGCTTAATGTAAATCCATCAATCCAATTTAAATGTGTTGGGTGACTTGTGAAAATTGAGAAGCAGCACAATGAGATGGAGCGCTCCTTTGTGGAATAGTCTCTTAAACCTATAGAACTGTTCGTGAAAATGTTACTTCTCCGGTCTTTAATATAAGACCCATTTAACTAATTTTAAACAACTTTAATATAAGAACCGGAGGAGTATAAGGATAAAAATAAAGAAAGAGATCAATTTTAAACAACTAGCTTATTACGCAAGAAAATTTCTAAAATTTTTAATCCACACTTCACTTATAAAATTACTGAATACTTAGCACCTTCAAATAAATTACTCAAAATGTGAATTTTTGTGTCTGCGCTTAATTAAAAAATATGAAGGAAGATGATTTTTTTTTACACGTCAGCTGTGCAGGGGGATCTGCTGTGATGCACGGATCAGATGCCAACCCCTTTATGCATCTAATAATAGTTATTATTAATACTCATATATCCTTTTTACCAGAAAATTTTTTTTAATGAAAACTTACGAGCCGCATAATAAATATATAAAGAAATTAATATTGTCGGGATAGCATATTTTGATATTTCTGCACACTCAGGTAGGTTAACCAACCGCGCGAATATAATTAAATAAAAATACGTACAAATGTGAAAGATGTGACGATTGATTTGAAATCCGCCTCCGTCTCGCCCCCACGGGGCAAAAACAATCACTCGCAAAAGTCCCATCTATGTTGACATTTTGACTTTTGTCCGTACCTCCCTGGTCCATTGTTTTTCTTTTTTTGTATGCTTGATTGAATCATATTTGTATTTTAAATTTGTTTAAGTAAACGGCAATTTATTTTTCTTTACGCTCCAACAAATAAGGAATAGGTGATTTTTCATCAAATTATAAAATCTAAATAACAAAAAGTTATTATTTGCTTAATTAAAAAATAGAAATACAGTTATTAAATGATTGTTATAAAAATATAACAGCTACCATTTAAAAACACTCTTCAATAACAAAAAACTTTAAAAATAAATAAATAATCCAGATAATTCATTTGACCAAGATGAGAGAAAATTAAGAGGTCCTCTGGAGTACTGGTGGTTCAAATGTCACAAGTTTGATTTTGGACTTTTGGTCAAGAAAAAGTGAAAAACAACAGGGAGGAAGAGGTGAAGATTTTCTGATTTGGGGTGTGTTTGAATGAAATCAAACCGTGGTTTGGAAAAGTGATTCTGGAAAATAGATTCTGAGGAGAATAGATTCTGTGAAGAATAGATTTTGTAAAAAAGTGATTCTGAAAAGTGAGAGTGTTTGGATAGTTGTTATCAGAAGCACTTTTTATATATACACATTACTAAAAAAAAGACATAAGTTAATATGATAATTACAAAAAAAATAGATTCTATGATATATTTTAATTTGAAGGAATAAAATTGTTAATAATATATTTTTTACCAACATAATTAATAATACATAAGACAATATAATTAATAAATAATTAATATGTATATATATTTATAAAATATAATACTAAATATGTTCATAAAAAATATGTTTATAATAAAAATAACAAGATACATATCTTATAGGCTCTTACACTCTCCTTTTTTTCTCCAAAAACAAAAATTTTTTGCTTTTTCTAAAATCATAGTTTTGACCCAAAACCATGGTTTTGATTTTTAGGTGGGTGTTTGGGTGACTTAATCTCCAAACCATGGTTTAGGTCCCCAAATCATGATTTGGGGTGTCACCCAAATACACCCCAAGGTCATGTCAAAGCAATCAAGGAGGGTCAAACAACATGTGTAGGACTTTTGGTCCTTGGAACATGTATTGGGATAATTAAATAAATGGACTCCCGATGAATAAGTAGTGTACAGATAACCCATTAATAGTATATCAGAAAATTTTCATTTTAAAATAATATTAATTTTAATTAGCTTATGCATGTACTTTTCGATTTAATTATTGCTCCCTTTTTTTATGTTTGAAGAGATATCACTATAGTGCTCCCATAATTTAGGGTCCTAAAGGGTGAGATGCTATATAATATTATAAGCATAAAGTTATTACTGAGTGTGAGTGGTAACTTTAACATATACGATTTGGCTAGTAAAGATCCACATCACATCACAATTCCACAAGAGGGAAAAAAAAAACACAAATCCAGAAAAGTGTTCAAATTTAAATAATATATTTCCTAAAGCAAAATTCGAAGACATGTTGAGATAGAGAATAAATAAAACCACGCATTCCCGTTACCCATTTTTAAAATTTAAAAAACTAAAATTAAAATGAAAACAATCTAAAAAGACTAAAATTAAACTGAGGACCAAAATAATTACACATGACTCTCACAACGCATCACACATATAAAATATGGGCAGATGTGAAATGAACAACCATTATTTGATGTGCACTCACATCTCACCTCCACAGAAACAAATCAAGGCATTCACATCTCACAAATTACACTGACGTTCTTTTATTTGAGTATTGTAAACACTCATTTTGTCCGAGCCTACTAAATAACAGACAAAACATTAAAAATAATTAAAAAAATGATAATAGAAAAATTCTTCATGATTATTTTTTAGAGGCCAAATTTGAAAAATTCCCTTTAAAAAAAAAATCAACCAAGAATACCTTTCTCACGTGCAATTGATTTCCAAACCTACTCTATTTTTATAGATAGTCTTTTACAAACAAGTTTTTAAAATTACTCTTCTAAAATTTTGATAGCAACTTCTCTTCTTTTTTTTTTTAATGAAAAGGCTGGAAATCAGGCTCGACTGGTGGGCGCCTTAAAAATTTTAGCTTTACACCTCCAACCATGGCTTGCTGGGGAGAAGGGGGGGGGGGAATTTGAGTCATAGGCCACACAGACAGGTTTACAACCAAATCATTCTCTTCCGCTGCCTATCTTATTTGCAAAATAATAATGAAAAGGTCGTGTGACCAGTTTGCACTGTCTAAAGAAAAAATCAAGGGGCATTGTAAATTGAAATGAATTTGTTTGAATTAGAAGACCACGCAGCCCGGGAGGGTTGGTCCGTCTGGTTGACAAGGGGAAGGTAAGGCGCCACGTACCCGTCAGTGCATGGGCTCGATCCTGGAAAGTTCCACCTGAAGCGACTCCGGATTTAGTCTGCATCCAAAGGGTGTGGGATACTGGAGGGAGAAATCCAAAGAAGACCACGCAGATTGAGCAAAGATTGGGACGTCAAAGCAAAGAATCGGTAAATGAGGTCAAAGAGCGTGCATGTTCAGACTTTCCAGTTTATATTGCCGGGGCCAGGGGACATGTGCCCGTGCAGTTAGGTAATTAGCTAATCACTGTGCTTCCCATTTTTTATCCCTCTTTCTCTGGAAAAAAAAACTATAAAAAGAATCTAAAATGTCCAAAAATGTTTTAATATTTTTCACACCTAGTCACAATTATTTTAAATTTTTTTATGCGGCATCAAGTTTGGAAAGTAAGTTATCCTATTACTCACTTCCCAAAGAACGCTAAATTCTTAATTCCTCATTTACTCTTGTTTTTTTTTTTTTGATACACCTCATTTACCCTTGTTATGCTAAGACATTGAAGATTTGAAATTATAAGCAGCATTGATCTCGTAATCTTTTATTCCTAAAAAAGGTTTTATACAACTAGAATATAATGTTGTTGAAGAATGTTGCAAACTTTTCAAAGGATATAATCAATCAGATCCACCTTAAATTTATATCTAACACATCAGAACATATGCACACGCACAAAGAAGGAGAGAGAGGAAAAAGCGTAGAATAAGTTTGCGTTTGTTTGAAATTATTTATGAATAGCTTTTTAATCATAATTTACAGAACACGAAATAAATACGTAAAGAAAGTTTTGTTTTGATTTACGTAACAAATATCTATAAGCACTTAGATAAGCAAGAAATGGGCTACAAAGATGAGGGCCAACCTATTATAACTTAAATTTATATTTAATATTACTTCCGATTTTTAATATAAGAACTAATTGACTAATTTAAATAGATTAAGGAAACTAGTTAAGTTAGTTATTTGTAATAAATAAATATTGTCTTTTTTAAAATATTCTTGCTAATCAAGTGTATTGGTTAGAATTACCATTATTATAAAGACTATATTAAAAAATAGATAAATATAAAATACAAAATGAATTGAGATGTTATATTTAAAATAAAAAAATTAACAAGCTCTCATGTTAACTATAAGAAGTAGTAAATAAGAGCATATATTATCACAGAAAGAGAGAGAAAAAAAAGGTACAGTTTTTTAATTGTAATTTATAAAATATAAGATAAATATGTATAAAAAAAAATTTAAACTCATGTAAAATTTGTTTATAAGCATTTAGATAATCAAAACGAGGCGTACTGTGCCAGCCTGTTCCACGGAAGGCATAGCAACAGACGGGTTTGGATTGCACGCGCTTAAGTTCGACCCGTGTCTTTATTAGTTTTTTTTCAAAGACGAGTATATTAATTAATGCGATACTCTAATGGCAGAGTAGCTTGTAAAAGATGGAACGGAGTAGGTAAGCCAAGGGCAAACAAAGTTGACTGCCATCCTTTCAAATTCA